TCTCTCTCTCATCATCATCATCATCACGGTGGCTAGGAGATGTTAACTACTTCGCCTGGTATACAGGAGGTCGTGGGTTCGATCCCGACCCTGACGCCTGCTGCTCTATATTTGGAATTTGCGTGTCTCTCTCTCTCTCCCCGTGGTCGCGTGGATTTTTCTCCCGGCCCTCCGAGGTTTTTTTTTCCCCCGACACATTCAGAATCAACTTGAAGCGTTTAGAGTCTTTGGCTGCGATACCTTTCCACGTGATGATGACAAGCCACCACTTCGTTGAGCTACCATTTGTGATAGCAAGGTCGCTTCTGAAAAAAACGCTAAATAGCTGCTCAGTGTGGCCCAACTTGGTCAAAGTATATCTCTGTGTGAGTCTATGGATATCTCGATCAGTGGATGGGACTCTGTGAGTCTATGGGTTACTATGCGAGGTCCATGGGTAGCTACGTGATTCTATAGGTTCCTATGTGAATCTACGGGTATCTACGTGCGTGTATTAACCTCTTCAAAGCTACTGGTCTCACTGCGAGGCTATGGGGACTCGTATTTCCATGGACTCTTCCCGCGTCTATTGATCTCTGTGTAAACGCATCGGAGTCTAAGTCATTCAACACATTCGTTAATAGCACTGCCTTAAAAAAGGGGGGAGGGATCCATATCACAGCCAACGTTTCGGGAAAGGGGTCTTCTTCATGGCAAATTATTGTAATAAATGTTTTTGGGTTAGATCGCGTTACTTATAAATGTGTCGTAACCCTCCACCATAATTACCAGCGAAACGACGTTTCGCTGGTAATTACATCCAGCTTCATCGGGCAATTCGCGAATTTTAAATGATGTTGATTCACTCTTCAACACACCGGTGGGCTAAAGTAGTGAACTATTTGTCCTTTGTAAACGTGACACATGTTTTACTGTTTGGCCGTGTCGGGTGGTGGAGGATTACGACACATTTATAAGTAACGCGATCTAACCCAAAAATCTTTATTATGAATATTGGTCACGAAAGCCCACGTGTTAAACTGCAAATAATTGTGTATGCGCATTAAAGAGACGCTGTTGCCCGAACCGTCGCCTATTATATATCACAATCAAAATATTTACGTATATTGGAGGAATCCGATGAGCTATAAAGCACTTTTACACGGTAGATATATATCCTTGTAATGTAACACTCACACAGGGTGTAGTTCATTAACGCATGGATATATTTTTATTTGCTAAAATGCAGTATCACTCAATGCATGGCGTTATCTACGCCACCGTTGATCAGGCGAGGCTGCTGGAAGACAAACTCGCCACACTTTCGAGAAACCCGGTTTAATCATCACTCACTCGACGTCAGCCGATACGTGAGTGCACTGGACTGTGTGTGCAAGTCTACGGATCTTCCTGTGCAATATGTGGGCATCCATGTACGTCTATGGGTCTCTATGCAAGTCTGTGGATCTCCCTGTACAATTTGTGGGTCTCTATGTGCCTCTATGGGTCTCTATGCAAGTCTATGGATCTCCATGTAAGAATATGGAGACACAATTTTACCGGATTCCTCCAGTATAAATACAAATCAATATTCGGTTATTAATTTCCATGCAAGTCTATGGACCTCTATGTGATGCCAGGGGTCTCTATACAAGTCTGCCGAGTTCTACATATGCCCGTGCGTTTATGCAAGCGTATACATATATAGAGAGAGGTCTCTCTTATTTGCTCCGCGGGTTTCTATGCCAGTATCTCTCACTGGAAATCTATGGAACCTCAAAGTAAGTCTATGGGGCACTCGTTGTAAGCCTGCACCATCTAAAATCCATCATCGAGGGGTGTTTTTTGTGTGTGGGGGTTAGATCGCGTAAATATATAAATGTGTCGTGAAACCCGCCACCACCCAACACAGCCACTTAATAAGGGTTATCGTGCGGATGAACTAGTCACGAATTTGCCACTTTTTGTCCACGCGAACGAACTCCTCGCCAATTGGAGGTGTCGGGTTTAACGGGACGCAGTTCGACTTGCCCGATCTGAGCCAAAACTAAAATTTTACATTTTTAAAATAAAAACAAGCCTCTGTCATGGATAGCATTGTGGCCGCGAAAAGCCCCGACTCCTACCGTACGTGTTAAACCGGCGTCTGAAGTGAAAGTCGCCGGTCACCTTTGCCGAGTCGCGTCGACTCGACGTCGCTTTGCGTAACGACCGCGGAGAGAGACACAGAGACAGAGAGAGAGACAGAGAGAGAGACAGAGAAAGACACACAGAGAGAGAGACAGAGAGAGAGACAGAGAGACAGAGAGACAGAGAGAGACACAGAGACAGAGAGAGAGACAGAGAGAGACAGAGAGAGAGAGACACAGAGACAGAGAGAGAGACACAGAGACAGAGAGAGAGACAGAGAGAGAGACAGAGAGAGAGACACACAGAGACAGAGAGAGAGAGACAGAGAGACACAGAGAGAGACAGAGAGAGAGACACAGAGAGAGAGAGAGACACACAGAGAGAGAGAGAGACAGAGAGAGACAGAGAGAGAGAGACACACAGAGAGAGACAGAGAGAGAGACACACAGAGAGAGAGACACAGAGAGACAGAGAGAGACAGAGAGAGACAGAGAGAGACACAGAGAGAGAGACAGAGAGAGAGAGACACACACAGAGAGAGAGAGACAGAGAGAGACAGAGAGAGACAGAGAGAGAGACACAGAGAGAGACAGAGACAGCGAGACACACACAGAGAGAGAGACAGAGAGAGAGAGAGACAGAGAGAGAGAGACAGAGAGAGATAGACAGAGAGACGTCGCTCAGACGCTTGTCGTGAAAGTGCCCCCCCCCCCTTCCCCCCGCCGGCGTCGAGGAGGAGCCCCTTGGGCTCGCCAGCAGCAAAGCGTGGGCCCAATCGCCATCTGTTTCCATCTGTACGGTCGACAGAGTCGTTGGCCCACTCGCCCCCCCCCCCCGAGTCACGTGGTTTTCTCCGGGGTGCTGTGATTTCCTTCACACTCATCTTACACAGATGTAGACGGCGCCCTTAGTCCGCCAGGCTTCACAACAATCACCAAGTTGTACACGTCGATGGCAGTGGTGAGAGAAAATTAATGAAGAGAGGGGTTGTTCGTAGTGGTGGTGGCGGCGGTGTAGCTATGGTGACAGTAAGGACTGGCGGGGGGGGGGGTGAAGGAGGGGCTGGGGTAGAGATGGGGGTTTGGGGTGGTGGAAGGGGTAGTGGTAGGGGTAGAGATAGGGGTAGTGGTAGTGATAGGGGTAGAGATAGGGGTAGTGATAAGGGGTAGTGATAGGGGTAGAGATAGGGATAGTGGTAGGGGTAGTGATAGGGGTAGTGATAGGGGTAGTGATAAGGGTAGTGATAGGGGTAGTGATAAGGGTAGTGATAGGGGTAGTGATAATTGTAGTGATAGGGGTAGTGATAGGGGCAGTGATAGGGGTAGAGATAGGGGTAGTGGTAGGGGTAGTGATAGGGGTAGTGGTATAGGTAGTGATAGGGGTAGTGGTATGGGTAGTGATAGGGGTAGCGATAAGGGTAGTGATAGGGGTATGGATAATGATAGGGGTAGTGATAGGGGTAGTGATAGGGGTGGTGGTATGGGTAGTGATAGGGGTAGTGATAAGGGTAGAGATAGGGGTAGTGATAGGGGTAGTGATAGGGGTAGTGATAGGGGTGGTGGTAGGGGTAGTGAGAGGGGTAGTGGTATGGGTAGTGATAGGGGTAGTGATAAGGGTAGTGATAGGGGTAGTGATAGGGGTAGTGGTAGGGGTAGTGATAGGGGTAGTGATAGGGGTAGTGATAGGGGTAGTGATAGGGGTAGTGGTAGTGATAAGGGTAGTGATAGGGGTGGTGGTATGGGTAGTGATAGGGGTAGTGATAGGGGTGGTGGTATGGGTAGTGATAGGGGTAGTGATAAGGGTAGTGATAGGGGTAGTGATAGGGGTAGTGGTAGGGGTAGTGATAAGGGTAGTGATAGGGGTAGTGATAGGGGTAGTGATAGGGGTAGTGGTAGTGATAAGGGTAGTGATATGGGTAGTGATAGGGGTAGTGATAAGGGTAGTGATAGGGGTAGTGATAGGGGTAGTGGTAGGGGTAGTGATAAGGGTAGTGATAGGGGTAGTGATAGGGGTAGTGGTAGGGGTAACGACTTGCACGGTTGGCGACGTACGGTGCGAAAGAAGTTCAACAGTTACAGGACTGTACATACACAGAGCGTGGCTTCTCTGGATCAACGAGAACATTGAGTCGGGGGCGGAACTCAGGAATCCTGATCACCAGGGATGGATGGAGTGGGGTGATGGGGGAGAGTTTGGTGATGGTGGGTAGGGGGTGAGTTTGGTGATGGTGGGTGGGGTGAGTTTGATGATGGTGGATGGGGTGATGGGGGAGTTTGGTGATGGTTGGTGATGTGGGTGGGGGTGAGTTTGGTGATGGTGGGTGGGGTGGGTGGGGGTGAGTTTGGTGATGGTGGGTGGGTGGTGTGATGGGGGTGAGTTTGGTGATGGTAGGTGGGGGTGAGTTTGGTGATGGTGGGTGGGGTGGTTAGGGGTGAGTTTGGTGATGGTGGGTGGGGGTGATGGGGGTGAGTTTGGTGATGGTTGGTGGGGTGATGGGGTGAGATTGGTGATGGGTGGGTGGGGTGATGGGGGTGAGTTTGGTGATGGTGGGTGGGGTGGGTGTGAGTTTGGTGATGGTGGGTGGGTGGGGTGATGGGGGAGAGTTTGGTGATGGTGGGTGGGGTGGGTGTGAGTTTGGTGATGGTGGGTGGGTGGGGTGGGTGGGGGTGAGTTTGGTGATGGTGGGGTGATGGGGGTGAGTTTGGTGATGGTGGGTGGTGTGGGTGGGGGTGAGTTTGGTGATGGTGGGTGGGTGGGGTGGGTGGGGGTGAGTTTGGTGATGGTGGGGTGATGAGTGTGAGTTTGGTGATGGTGGGTGGTGTGGGTGGGGGTGAGTTTGGTGCCCTCCTCTCCCACCCCTCCCTCCTCCTCCTCCTCCACCTCCTCCTCACCGGCAACCCAGCCCAGTAGGGGGTGTCGCGGGGCCGCAGTGAGGGACTCAGGTCGCTGGTGGAGAAGGCGACCGCCGTCACCACGGTGCCGATCAGCATCTGGAGCAGCACCACCCCAGTGAGGGCCCCGACTCGCCGCCGTTGGGGCCTCAGAGGCGACGGCGGACGCGAGTCGCGCGGTCCGTCCGCGTCTCCTCCTCCTCCTTCCCCACCTCCTCCTCCTCCTCCACCTCCGCCACCTCCTCCACCTCGTCCTCCCACCCGGGGAGGACGACCCCTGCCCAGCCACTCCTCGGTTTCCATCGCGCGTTCAGCGTCTTCGTCTGCCCGCCCGACTGCCCGATCCCTGCGTCCCACCGCGACCTTGCTCCACTCTGGGGATGCGCGGTCGAGCGACGATGACTGCATAGTCCTGCTGATGGTGGTGCTGATGGTGGTGCTGATGGTGCTGATGGTGGTGGTGATGGTGCTGATGGTGGTGCTGATGGTGGTGATGGTGGTGCTGATGGTGCTGATGGTGGTGGTGATGGTGGTGGTGGTCACAACGATGATGGTGATGATGGTGGTGGTGATGACGAAGGAGACGGTATTGAAGACAACTGTGACCACAGCGATTATGTTGTTGTTGTTGATGATGATGATGACGACAACGACGAAGACCAGGATGATGAAGACCACGCGATGAGAATGATGATGATGGTGGTGGTATTAATGGTGTTGATGGTGTTGATGGTGCTGGTGATGTTATCCACCGCGTTGCGTGCGTTAGCATCGCGTAGCTGTGAGCTAACGCAACACCACACGCCTGGCGTAAAACATCGCCCGTGTCTCTGTATCTCTCTCTCTCTCTCCCGTGCTGCTCTCTCTCTCTCTGCCTGTGTCTCTCTCTCCTCGTGTCTTCTTCCGTGTGTCCCCCTCCCCTTCTCTCTCTCTCCCCGGCCGTCCCTCTCCCTCTATCTCTCTCTGCTCTCCCTCCGTCTTGCCTCTCATCTGCAACGCTCCGCTATCGGCTGCACGCCGTAGCGCGCCTGCTTTGCGACTGGCCGATCCCGCGTGCAGGAATGAATAGCAAGAGGGGAATGGGGTTGGGATGGGAAGAAAGGGATGGGAGGGGAGGAGGGAGGAGGGGGGGAGATGGAGCAGGGAGGAGGGGGGAGCAGGGAGGAGGGGGGAGATGGAGCTGGGAGGAGGGGGGAGATGGAGCAGGGAGGAGGGGGGAGCAGGGAGGAGGGGGGAGATGGAGCAGGGAGGAGGGGGGAGATGGAGCAGGGAGGAGGGGGGAGATGGAGCAGGGAGGAGGGGGGAGCAGGGAGGAGAGGGGAGATGGAGCAGGGAGGAGGGGGGAGATGGAGTAGGGAGGAGGGGGGAGATGGAGTAGGGAGGAGGGGGGAGCAGGGAGGAGGGGGAGATGGAGCAGGGAGGAGGGGGGAGATTGAGCAGGGAGGAGGGGGGAGATGGAGGAGGGAGGAGGGGGGAGCAGGGAGGAGGGGGAGATGGAGCAGGGAGGAGGGGGGAGCAGGGAGGAGGGGGAGATGGAGCAGGGAGGAGGGGGAGATGGAGCAGGGAGGAGGGGGAGATGGAGCAGGGAGGAGGGGGAGATGGAGCAGGGAGGAGGGGGGGAGATGGAGCAGGGAGGAGGGGGGGAGACTGCTTGGGTCACGGGCTATGTCAGTAGAACACGTTCATATTTACATGTATAACAAAGACAAAGATCTCCGTGTAGCCTCTGACGGAATGTTGGGGCAAGTGCTGTTGGCGAGCGACTATGAAGAGCGGCACAGCACGCGGGGAGGTGGGTGGCCAACACCACGCCCGGCCGCCTTTGTCTCCCCGGTGGCGACTTTTTTTGTTCCACACCGCACCGGGTACTCATTTAATGCTGAGTCGACCTAGGGGAGGCCCAGGAACCAGTTCAGACAATCGTCACCGGCGTTGGCCGTGAGCGCAGCGCGTCGCCTTACGAGACGCACAGACGCTCATCACATGCGCTCTAAGCACACTCGTCTTAATAACACACACACACACAATCTGTCTTGACACGAGCACACACGGCGGCATCACGACTCATTACAGACACAATGATTATTGTCTAACGTCTGCCATAATTCTTGAGACGAACTCTGGACCCGTACATGTTTAATACTTACCGCACGAAGTTCATGATTGAGGTTCTCTTTTTTTTTGGGGGGGGGGGGGTTAGATCGTGTAAACATGTACATGAGTCATATTCTTGGTTCTTTCGGTAAAGTCGGGTGGTGGCGGGGTATAACGACACATTTACATTTTGATTTAAAGCTTTCGTGACTGCAGTGATTCATATTTTTGGTTCTTTCGGTAAAGTCACGTTGAAGGGAAACAGTAAAATAATAATATATATAAAACAATAAAATTCTCACGACGTTTCGACTGTAACGCAAACAGTCATCATCAGGTGATGATGACTGTTTTTTCACACCTGATGATGATTATCGAAACGTCGTGAGAATTTTGTTATATATATTATTATTTTATTGTTTCCCTTCAACGTGACTTTACCGAAAGAACCAAGAATATGAATCACTGCAGTCACGAAAGCTTTAAATCAAAATGTAAATGTATCGTTATACCCCGCCACCACCCGACACAGCCAACTAGTCAAGGAGTTGTCACGTAAACAGAACGTGGCCAATTCGTCACTAGTACAGCACAGCGGTGTGTTGGAGGTGTTCTGGCTTGGCTCTCCAACACACCGGTGTGATGCACTAGTGACGAATTGGCCACGTTCTGTTTTACGTGACAACCCCTCAACTAGTTGGCAGTGTCGGGTGGTGGCGGGGTTTAACGACACATGCATATATTTACGCGATCTAACCCCCTCCAAAAAAAACACCTCTATTGCGGATGATATTGGTCGCGGAAGCCTACGGCGTGTTAAACGAACGAGGTTAACTTTGACTCGAAAATATCGCGGCCGTTCTGCGGCACTGCTTCGTCTGCCACGGCTGCTTTGAACGTCGAAATTCGCTCCAGAGAGAGCTGCCTTCAGCGGCGTTCACCTGTCGATGACATGCCCCCCCCCCCCCCAACCAGACGGCCTGTTCGGGACCCCCGAGTGAGTTTTTTGTTGTTGAAGAAATTCACGTAAGCAGGGGCGGAGCGAGGATTTTGACTTGGGGGGGGGGGGGGGGCTGACTTCATAATTCTGAGATATCCAGTGTAATGTTTTCCAATGGGCGCCACAAATGTATGAAACAAATTCTATTGGATTTGAACGCGGAGTTTATTCATAGGTCGGAGCCGCTGATGTGGCTAATAAGTTCGATAAGTTCGAAAGGCTGCCGCTCAAGCAGCCTGCAGGGCAGCACAAGGTGGCAGCCTGCAGGGCAGCACAAGGTGGCAGTCTGCAGGGCAGCACAAGGTGGCAGCCTGCAGGGCAGCACACAAGGTGGCAGTCTGCAGGGCAGCACAAGGTGGCAGCCTGCAGGGCAGCACGAGGTGGTAGCCTGCAGGGCAGCACAAGGTGGCAGCCTGCAGGGCAGCACACAGGGTAGCAGCCTGCAGGGCAGCACAAGGTGGCAGCCTGCAGGGCAGCACGAGGTGGCAGCCTGCAGGGCAGCACGAGGTGGCAGCCTGCAGGGCAGCACACAAGGTGGCAGCCTGCAGGGCAGCACACAAGGTGGCAGCCTGCAGGGCAGCACACGAGGTGGCAGCCTGCAGGGCAGCACACTAAGTGGCAGCCTGCAGCATTTTGCAGCAGCCGGATATCCGGTTATCCCGATTACCAACTTTCCCAAAATTTCAAGGGGGGCTAAGCCCCCCCCCCCAGCCCCCCCCTGTGGCTCCGCCCCTGGACGTCAACAAGCCAGAGCGCCGCGTGATGCGCTCCTTCACTTGCCCACAAACCTGGTGGGGAACATTGTTGTTGTCTTTTTAATTATTTTTTTTAACCTGGCCATCTGGCCACAAATCGAGTACAATGTAAAACGTGATACGTTCATACGATCGATCAATTCGTCGGCCTTTTTCTTTGTTCGGGATCGCCACGCCGAGCGGCAGGGCCATGTTTCAGGAGCACACTGCCCACTACATCGAGATCCTACTTGTAAGATGTCCATTAATGATGACTTCATAATTCACGTGCGGAGGAAAATCGGAGCAGCCGGAGAAAACCACCTGGCTTGCGCGAGGGGGCAACGCTATATCCCCGTACAGATGGAAACAGACGGCGATTGGCCCACGCTGTGCTGTACTGGCCTTCCCCTGGCGAGCCAGGGGAAAACAGCACCTCCGAGACGCCCACGGGAAAGTGGAGTTTCGCAACAACATCTTTGTGAGATCCATCAACCCTCTCTGCTGCTGCTGCTGCCTCCACAGCGCTGGGTCACTGCAGGCGTGCATCGGCGATAGCCACCACCGGGTGAGCAGTGGTTGAGATAAGGCAAGAAGACGCTCGAAGCCATCAATTAAACCCGTGGGTACGTTGGCAAATGTGGTTCCCACGCTTTGGTGGCGAAACGCCTGGTGGCCCAAGCGCCCGTGGAGGCAACGGCAGTCGGCGGAATCGCACGAAACTCCCCAGACAACGGCAAAACATGTGGACTTGCCTTCCGTTCCTTCTGTGTGCGGGGATCGAGCGTTGCCCCCTCGCCTCGCCGACTCCCGCACGCGTTGGGGTTTTCTCCGGGTGCCTCCGGTTACCTTCTGCATTTAAGCGCGCTCGGTAGTTTTGTGATTTTACGCCGGACAGATCAATATTGGCAGGAGGTGGGGGCATTATTTATGTATTCATTCATTTATTTTTGGTTCATATTACGTGAGAGCGGGAATAGAACCCGGGTCGCCGGGTTCGTATCGCAGCAGCGCACTAGCCGCTGCACTACCGCTTCCCCCTCGTGTGGAATATATTTAGCACTCACACACACACACGCACGTGAGTATGTGTGTGGGGAGCGGCAGTGTAGCAGGTTACCGCGCTGCGCTACGAACCTGGCGGCCCGGGTTTGATTCCCGCCCACGGCCAACGCCAGCGACGATTATCTGAACCGGTCCTCGGCCTCCCCTAGGTCGACTCAGCCTCAAATTGAGTACCTGGTGCGATGTGTAGTAAACATCGCCACTGGGGAGACAAAGGCGGCCGGGCGTGGTGTTGGCCACCCACCCCCTTGTGAGCTGTGCCGACCCTCATCGGTGCTGCTCGCTAACGGCGCTTGCCCAAACAGTCTG